ACATCCGCCTGTCTCTACCTTCCCCGGTGCTGAGATCATGAGCCAGCACACGCCACGCCCAGCCCCTTTCTACGTGGGTTCTGAAGGTCAAACTCTGGTCCTCATGCTGGTGTGGCAAGCACTGTGTTAGGGTGATCTCGTGACGTCCAAGCTGGCCTCAAACTCCCATTGGAGCCAAGGGGGGCTTTGAACTTCTGCCTCCACATCCGCCAGGTGCTGAGTCCGCAGGACTGGGCCCACCAGACCCATCTCAGGTGCATTTATTTTGATGGGTCCTTGTGGGCAGTCACAGACCAGGGCTCCCCTGCTCCCCTCTTGCCTGTCCTCTACTTCTCCCATCAGGCCTTGCTTCCCAGAACCTGTTTGGCATCCACGTTGTTCATCCTGCTTCTCTGGTTCCCAGAGCACAGGCTTTCTGCTGGGGGACGGTCCCCACTGGGCAGGGTGGAGCTTGGGCCCTCTAAAGAATGGAGTCTAGCGAGGAAGGGTGCTGGGTTCCTGCAGCTACTATGGAAGGTGGCAGAATTGAAGGATGGAGTTTTAGAGTAGACAGAGGACCGGTGTGAGTGTGTGTGTTTGTGTGTGTGTGTGAGAGAGACAGAGACAGAGACAGAGACAGAGAGACATCTTGGCTGATAACCTCCAAGTCCTTGTGGAGACATTAAGGGGTCACATGGAAGTTCCCCATTATGGGAGGCAATGATTACAGAGGGTAATGATTCTGAGACATCCTCTCGGGGTTCCTGGGGAGTTCCCCATGCTCCCTGTAGCCCTCTGAAGATGGGAGAGCCCCACCCACATCCCTAGCTTTGAATGAAATGTTGAGGAAGCGGTCAGTCAAACCAAAACAAACCTAATGAGAGGGACTCGTGTCACAAGACAAAAATTACAACAAAATTCAGTTGACCCTGATCCCTGGCGTGCACGTGGCAGAAGGAGGAAGCCAACTCCCACAAATAGCCTCTGACCTTCTGAGCCCAACACGAGCACCCGGCCGCATAAAAAAGCGAATGAATAAATGTCAAGAGGTATTAACGCGGTGTAGGGCAACTTTAGGAAGACAGCAGAGTTGACTCTGACCCCAACACCCACCCAACGAGTCAGTGTACAGAGAGTGAACCCTAGGGTGCACAGTCCCAAATAGGAATCTATGTCCCATCTCTTCCCCAAAGGCTGGGGATCAGTAGAGGAGGGACGATAGTGCGAGCCAGAGATAGGGGACAACACCAAGGAAGCAGTGGTTCCCAGGGCGCATTGGCACTCACAGTGGTGTGACAGCAAGCTCAAGCCAGAGCCCCTCCCCCCCAAAAAAATCAATATGGAAAGGGAGGGGCGGCCACAAACTCCCAAGCCCTAGCTGAGGAGCGATTGGCATTTGATAATTTCTGGGAGAGAGGGAAAGACAGTTTTCTTTAATGATGTCACCCCTGGGAAGTCGATCACACGCCATGCATATTTTCAAATGTCTGTTCTCCGGGCTAATTCTCTCAGATTTAATTTTTTGTAAGCAGTTTACCCAATATCTGTAATATCTACCATCTGGTTCCAGCTTTGCCGTTCTCTGGCCAGGATCCCACACAGTGGAAATATAGAAATGGTTTTTTTTTTTTACTCTCTCTCTCTCTCTCTCT